AAAAAACAAATTGGCAAAAGAGACATTCCAATGTAAGAAACTTTGTCTAGGGTTCAGTATGATCCTCACCTTTAAAACATCAACTGGAGTTTTCCCAGAAATGATATTACTTCAAATAACTCAGAATATGCATGTACTTTGTTACTTGTAACTTATGGACAATTTTTCCAGGGACTGTTTCACAGTGTAGAAACAATAAACACACACACTAAACACAGTTCCAGGTTGTGTATTAATTAAACAAACATATACCACAAATTTGCCCAGTTCAAACATGAAATAATATTTTAAACCACTGAAATGATGTTTTAACCACAAAATCAACCTGAGTGCACTCTTCAAGTTCTATGCAAGCTTGCGTTGGCGCGCGTTGGAGCTTATGTCCACTCGAAACCATTTTAACAGTCATACCAGTCTGAAAGAAAAATAATCCTCGTTCTTACCATCCAAGGGACACAGGACGTCTGCACATGGAATCCTACTGCCCTGTCGTCTCCCCACGCAGGTGAGTTCTGAATCTCCAGTGGCAACACCGTGTGCTTCCTTGTGACTCTCGACGAGGTAATTAGCACAGACACGATGGAGCTAGCTTTAGCATTAGCTTAGCTTAGTTTTCTCAGTTTCGTCTTTTTGAAGTCTGAGCACTTTCTTTATGTTTTGAATACTTCACAGCCACACACCCTCGGCGGCCATTGCCGTGCCCTCTTTTTTCGTTCTCCTCCGCCCGCTTCGCGCGTCTTCTCCTCTCTTCTTCTTCTCCTTTTTTCGGTTGTCTTCTTTTGTGGTACACTCAAAACATTGCAAAATAATAGAACATGAGATACGAACAATAAATTCCTCAACACCCATATAAAACGGTTATAACACTGTGCAACTGCATATTTCAACCCATCACAACAAACCATGAAATTTCCTAATGATTTATCATGTGATGAGAACAAATACCTTACTGCATCACCATAAAGACAAAATACGCTCTGGTAAACAAAAGAAAACAATACTCTGATTCTGTGGATAATCAGATTACTACACAAGGAAGGGAAAATCAGTGAAATCTAAATCCATAAGCTACATAAAAATGTGATGTCTTCTTGATGATCTTACATGAAAACTATTTTTGTCCAGTACACTTGTCTTGTTGGTTGGGCTGATATAGACTCTTTGTCCTGCTGCTGCTCTGTTGTCAAATAGTTCTGATGACTTTAAGCACTTAGAACACGCTTCCAGTGTGTTTTACCAGTAAGAAAGCCTGGAAATATTCTCATTTGAGAAGCTGAAGCCAGCAGATTTTGCCATTGTTTTCATCTTCTGGGTAGTTAGATTATTTTGTTTGTTTTGTCACTTTCAGTTAAATGTTATCTTTTATTAGTACAGTAGTCTTGTTTTGTTCTAAATAATTCTGAAAACTGATTAAAATTTCCTTCATAGATGTGCTTGTGTGGAGCCTAGGGCCCCCAGCAATGAGACTCTGCACTTCTGGGAGGAGCAGAACATCACAGCTTCTCAGGTCAACTGGACCCTGCTGGAGGTCAAGGTAGAGAACATTTGACATTTGTAGGAAAATATTGCAACAGACCTTTACATAAGTTACATAGGCATAAGGGTTTTATCTACATATGGCTTACAGATGCACTGACTAAGACTTCTAATCTTAAGCTGTAAAGAAGTAGAACTCAAGACAGAAACAGGACTTTAAATCACAGATGCTTATCCAGAAATCAAACCAAACACACAAAGTTGAGGGTACTTCTTACATTCTGGCACCTTGTTATTCCATACTTTGTATTATCACGAAGCATCATAGGTTTACGCAGGGGATTAAGAACATGTGGGCAGTATTTCACAGGATTTTGCTGTGCAGAATGAACATGAAGAGTGTGAAGAGTGGATTCTCTGACTGTCAGACAGTCATGGCTGTGGTGGTATGCTGTGCCATTCCTACACATGCTTGTTAGACAGACTCTATGGCAGCAAATGTTTTGAAGATAGGGTCACACAAAGGCACTGGGACTTTATGCAAATTGATTAATCATGCTGTGTGCTTTAAATATCTTTGAAATAATTAGCAGATTGTTGATATTCAGACTTCATTAATTCATCACTGACACTGACCATCATCGCCCCTCATCTGCTGTTATTTTATTGCCATTATTATTCATATCACGTTCCTGCTCATCATCCTGATAATTATTACCATCACCATCATCATCATCGTCATTGTGTCCTCTGGTGCCAGTAGGAGTGCGAGATGTTGCATGGGGAGTTCGAGGGTACCGCCTGCGGTCCCCATGGCCCTTACATGCCTGATGTCCTTCTCTGGTGCGTGGTGCTCTTCTTCTCCACCGTCTTCATGTCCGCTTTCCTCAAGGAGTCCAGGACGAGCCGCTACTTCCCCACCAGGGTAGGTAGCCCTCAACACTCACCTTCAAATAATGCAGAAAATACACAGTTGTTGTCAATCATCCCTTTGTAGTTGGCACTTTAGTGTTAGAGTTCCTGTTTGTTACTGCTGTCAGGTGCATTAATGCTGCAAACTGAATCTGCTTCATTAATTTTACAGCTTTGCCTCTGTGTGTAATTTTAGATTCTGCTGCCATCTATCGGTTGTTTTATGATACAGTAAAAATCCTGCAGTTTGTTTGGCCATTCTGTGTATGAATTTTCTATGATTTATCATTGAGATGACACATGAATGTAATTTGTGGCATGATGCTGACACAGTAATCTGTAGTATAGTGCGCCACCTTGTGGTGATGAGTGCTACCCTGTATTCTGGTTGTGGTATAGTATGTTATATGGATTTGTCTGAAGAGTGTTGATTTATCTGTTCCCTCCAGGTGCGGGCCATCATCAGTGACTTTGCTGTCTTCATCACCATCCTCTCTATGGTGCTTATAGATTATGCCCTGGGGATCCCCTCACCTAAATTGCAGGTCCCCAACAAGTTCAAAGTAAGTCTAGATGAAACCTCCCTTGTCAAAAGCTACTTTATATTCATCTTATACCAAACAGTAGTATAAAGTATATGCATTTTTCTCTAAAATATAATTGATAAACAGTTTAAAAGAGATTTTGACTTGAATATATGAACTGTAATCAGAAATTTGACAAAGGCATGATAGATTAAAAAACATGTTTATATTTTGATTTGATTTGATATCCAGGTAAATGACAATACATTTAAAGGTTGTGTGAAAAGTTATGAAAGTATTGTCTAATTTGGAAAATTGCAACCAGGATATAATTTATGCTGCTTTAATTTTTATAGATTTCAAGTGGGGAGCTACTGTATCTAAAGACTCGCATAAGAATTAAAATAAGAAATAATCCCCATCCAACTATTACTTTTTTGTTGTGCAACTATTGCAGAGTCATTGTAAGACATCATGCTCTATTTCTATGTTGTATAAAATATTTTTAAAATAACTGCTGTGTTGTGAACGTGTGCTCCATGCTGCAACAAATCCACCACAATCCATGTACAATTTTTGCACATTGTCACACAAAATAAGACATGAAAGCAACTCAAGAGCCATAAACAATACCCTGCAGATGTCTGGGTCATGATACAGGCAGTCTGACCTCACTGCGCACTGCTGTCATTCACTGTTCATTTACCATTTCCTCACATGATCAAGTTTCTCAAAGACATACCTTTGCTATTACCATGGAGGATATACTGCACATTGTGTCTGTTTTTTGTTTTTATGACGGTTTGATCCTGACAAAGGCAGCTGTAGGTGGAGATAAAGTAGGCAATGTGTTTAACAGCCTGCACACTCCCATGGACTACAGTCTGTTTCTGGCGGACGATTGCTTTTGGTACAACACCATGAATGCAATGATTACAGTATATTTTACTTTATTATTTTAAAAACACCTCTGAGACCACTTTTATTTTACGCAGTGCTTTAAACAGTCCTAGGCTGCTGCTATTCAGTGCACAACCAGCATTTAAGCACAGCTTTGTGGGTGCCTGACTCCTACATCTGGTTGTGTAGGCTGCTTGCTAATAATAAGCTGACAGATGGATTTATAATGTCTTTAGAATCCACAGGTTGAACACATATTTGGAGTCAGTAAAATATTCCCCATAAAGTTATTTTCATTTCAACTGTTTGGGGGTTTTAGAATTTAAAGGTTCAAGATTTTTCACAGCTGTTTCTTCCTTATATTTTCTTATTTAATTAATATACTGCAGGCCAGATGTGTTGACAATACACAGTACCAAGAATTATATGATCCTTCACCTACAATTGAAAATACTGATACTGAACATTAATCTTTAAATAACAAAGGCATAAATGTAATAAATGTCCAGTAAGAATTCCATTTAAATGCGGTCCTAACTGTGATGCTAATATTGAGTATTTCTTTTGTCATTAAGCCAACTAGGGATGACCGTGGCTGGGTAATAAACCCTCTGGGACCAAACCCCTGGTGGACTGTTGTCATCACCTTCATCCCTGCTCTGCTCTGCACCATCCTCATCTTCATGGACCAGCAGATCACAGCTGTCATTATTAACAGGAAGGAGCACAAATTAAAGGTATTTGAAAACTGTCATTTAAAATCCCTGTCACAAAAATATAGTACAATTTTTCCCTTCATTATTTATTTAATTAAAAAAGTCGACTATCTAAAATGTCCCTCCTCTGGCTCCTGCAGAAAGGCTGTGGCTACCACCTGGACCTGTTTGTGGTATCAGTAATGCTGGGTGTGTGCTCTGTGATGGGCTTGCCGTGGTTCGTGGCAGCCACCGTGCTCTCCATCTCCCACGTGAACAGCCTGAAGCTAGAGTCGGAGTGCTCGGCCCCTGGAGAACAACCCAAGTTCCTGGGCATTCGAGAGCAGCGCTTCACTGGCCTGATGATCTTCACCCTGATGGGCTGCTCCGTCTTCATGACCTCTGTGCTCAAAGTCAGGAGATAAACAGCAAATACACATGCACACTAATGCAAGAAAGAAGAATATGATGGAAATCATGCCTCATTTAGTCTTATGGTTTTATTTCTGTGTAAAAAATAATTACAAAAGGTTCAACTAGATATTGTAAAGCCTCTTTATATAAAATTTGTATTACTTTGTAGAATCCTAACTGAATTATAAGCAATAAAACACATCCTGACTCAGTTGAATAACCTCTGGGTTTTGCGGCTATAGAATCAGCTGGTCTGGGATGACTGTAGTTCAGTAGGCCATGCAATAGGTTAAGCTGATAGTGCCCTCTGCTGGACCATAGGGCCATCTACTTCCTAAAAACTAAATTTGGGACTTGAACACATCATTAGCAACCTTATGCATGTGTATATTTCATACTATACACAGTATTCAGTGGTTAATTTGTGCCCTTTTATTGTGGAAACTACTCAAACATGCTGGTCATTGAGGAACGTTTTTCATTCTGGGACCTCCTCTCCAAACACTGACATGCTGGGTCCATCATCTAGTGATATTCCAAAACTTCATAATTTACAAATTAAGCACTGATAGTATTTATATATGTCATCTGATGGAGCACTCCATTACCTGTTTTACAGTTTTTCAAGATGATAGTAATGACACTGAATATATAAAAAAGACTTTTCCAGATATACTTTAGTGCTTGTCCTCATCCTAAATATTTCTCTGTCTCCAGTTTATCCCCATGCCTGTGCTGTATGGAGTCTTTCTGTACATGGGGGCTTCCTCGCTCCGAGGAATTCAAGTGAGTCCAGATGCTGCCGGCTGGTATTTTATTAAAAGAACTAGTCAAGAAAACATGCAGGATGAATTCCTGAGTGTCTGTTTGTATCTGTGCAGTTCTTTGACCGTCTGAGGCTGTTCGGCATGCCGGCCAAACATCAACCAGACTTCATCTACCTTCGCCATGTCCCTCTGAGGAAAGTGCACCTCTTCACCATCATTCAGCTCAGCTGCCTCATGCTGCTCTGGATCATCAAGACCTCCAAGGCTGCAATTGTCTTCCCCATGATGGTAACCTGAGCGTGTTTGTGTACAGTACATAAACATTGTATATTTGTGTGCATACTGCATATGACTGTGGATATCTATTTGTGCTGCTTCAGGTCCTGGCCCTGGTGTTCATTCGTAAGCTGCTGGACTTCATCTTCACTAAGAGAGAACTGAGCTGGCTGGATGATCTGATGCCAGAGTGGAAGAAGAAGAAGCTGGAGGATGCAGCACAGGAGGTGCACTAATAGATCACAGCTCGGATGATCCAAAGCATCCTTTGATAACTTTGAATTTCAGCTGCAGCAATGCTGTTTCACATGTTTTTACCTCTTTCTTCAGGAAGAACACAGTATTATTGCAGAGGAGGAAGGCATTGTACAAGTGCCACTGGAGGGACATTATAAGTAAGGCGCATTCTGCATTTTAGTTACCCATGCCTCCAGCAAAAGCCACTGTGTCAGACTGAATGACAAATTCTTCATACTAGATATTGTAAATGTACCACTTCAAGACATTAAGGAGCCTGTTTATAAAGGATTAGCAGCCAGTTATTGGGTGCGAAACAGTTAAATTGTCCTTATTTAGCACAAGGCCATCCAAGGTTTTGTATACTGTAATGCTAAAAAGGCACATTTAGACTCATGCCGGTGCATTATTTGGGCACCTGATTGCAACCTCTGTCTCTATCAAACAAAAACAAAAAGGCCAAAAATATAAGCGTCCTCCAGTCAGCACCACAACACAAGTTAAAAGAGTAGCAATGTAACAGCCTTTTTTTCTGTTTCCAGCTTGAATACAGTTTTCTTCAGACTTTAATGGTGCAGTCTTTGCTGAAGTTTTTGCTTATAATCACGTACAACACAAAATGAAACACCATCAGATCTTATTTATACAAATCAGATTTATAATATTAGTAATGGCTTGCTAGTGACAAATTGTAGTTATTCCACTAGAAAAATGTTATTTTCTTGTGTAAAATAAATAGGTTTGTCAAAAGTCTTATAACAGAGAGTGAAATAACCCTTTTTGTCATTCCTTGTGATGTGTTTTTAAAGGAGTGACCCAGCCACAGTTAACATCACTGATGAGATGTCCAAAGGATCGTTCGGGAGTGTGTGGAGGAGTGTCAGCCCTGCTGAGAGCATTAAGAGGGAGCCGGGTGCTAAAAGGTTAGCCTCATCACATCTCAGATATCCAGATAAGTAATCCATCAAAGGGCTCTAGTACCAAACTCTATGTAATCCAGAGTATGTTTATTTTTCCAGGGTCAGAAAAATCCATTTCAAGGGAAAATGATGTGTTTGGGTGGCAGCTGTTTGTTATTGAAAAGTTACAGAACATTTAATTTTTATATTTCTAGGAAATTGAGGAGCAAGTGTGTTTAGATGAAAGGGTTTATCTAAGAGAAGCCCTGCCCTCATACATTTCCCATAGAGTAGACTAACATAGTTTCTTCTGCCTGCCTCTCTCATTCAATCCCACCCCTAAGCTCCCCTTCCTAACCTCTTAGAAGCTGAAATCCCAAAGGTAAGTTGTTCCCTGATCTTCACATGATTAATAATAGTCTGTGTTGGTCTGTGCTGCAAGTTATGACCCTGCAATGAAAGATTATGCAATAAATATTGAGATAAATCAGTAATAACTAGATGTTGGTGGACTGACTACACAGCATGGCCTGGGTGTGCATGTTATTTCAAGGACATGTTTTATAATGTCAATTGCAGCATGCTGTATTGGTTGTCATATTAATTTAACTAGTGCTACATCTGAGCCACTGTAGTCCTGCTGTATAGTTCAGTGTCATGAGACACTGAAGACAGACTCCTAACCCTTTGCAAGACATATTTGCATGCTTTGTGATCTGGATTCATTGATAGTCACCTAGCTGGCAATGCATTTGTACTTTGCATTTGAAATGTTCCTGTACAGAAAAAGAACATAAACACATTAGCTTTTTTTCCTTTCAGTATTTTTCTTGGTTAATTTTTTTCTTTTGTGCCATTGTTCTAGTGGTGGCGAAAAGTGGCACAAGCAGCGGAGGCATGACAAGAGCTTGGACAGGGAGACAAGTTTGTGATGACACATACTGGCAGTGCCACTGTGCTGTCAATCAGTAGATCAAAATCTATACCATGCCACACTCAACCGCCTCTGTACTGTACTACACTGTGTTTTTGTCATGTAAGTCTGTGTGCAAATTATGTAAAACAAAGAAAACTTGGTAGAAACAATATTATCGCAAGAAACCAAGGCACATTTGTATATCAGTGTTCGGTGATACCAGCAACAAAAGAAAGCCAGAAATTTATGACACTTAAAATAATTGCTGTGTCTTTGGGCCAATTACATGCCAATTTTGAATAATTTTTAAATCAACTTTATTTGTATTTTGTATGTTTGTATATTTTTCCAACAACAGCGAGCTGTCCTTTTAAAAACCTGCCACAGCAAACTGCAAATGTGTCGATTTTGCGCTATTGACTTGATGCACTTCCAAATAGAAAACATACAGTAAAGAGCAGATATTTGCCAATACTAACTTGTTTCATTGGTGTCTAAAAGACTTGGCTATATAGCAAATCTAGCAAATATAGCACTTTTTTTTTGTATGTATGTATAAATATACATTTTATATATCCTTATATCTACATGTTTTTGTGACAGTGACAGCTCATTTCAATCCAGAGTCGTTTCCATTGCTCTTTTACATATAAATGCCTTTCCTCCAATAAAGCATTTCCCCAGCTAATTAAAGGACAAGGTTTTTATTATGGGAAATAACCCTGTTCACTTTCTTTCCAAAAAGTAGACAAGAACATTGATACCACTCTAGTGTCTGTATGCTAAATATGAAGCTTGGGCCAGTAGCGAGCTACCTTAGCTCTGGCCTAGCTTAGCACAAAAGATGGAAAACAGTGAGACAGGTAGCCTGGCTATGTGCAAAGCAAACAAACATAGCTAAAGGCTCTCTTATTAACATATATTTATTTTCTTTCATCTGTATAAAACCTGAAATATAAAAAAAATGCACCTGGTTTTATGATTGGCTTAGCTTCATATTTACTTATGCCAACACAAAAGACCCTATCAAAATGTTGAGCCATTTCTTTACAGATAGTATTTTTCTGGGAGCAGCTTATTGGACAATGGCATCTTCAAGCTAGCATGGCAGCATAGTTTGGGAACTCTGAGTATTGCTCGCTACTTGGCCTTGGCTTTTTAAAAGCTAATCAAATTTGCAAATGCTGAACTTTACAGTGACCGTATGGAAAGCTCTATGTATTCCACCTGCATACTTTTTGTCATTTTGTCAGTAAATGTCATCCATGGACATGTGATCTCCTCTCCAAATGACCCTCAGTATGTTAGCATCTGAAGCTAACTGTTTAAAAAAACTGCATGACGGTGAAACTGTTTCGCTGCAGGACCATGGTTACTTCGAGAGATGCAATAACACCTTTTTTCTGAGAAGGGCAACATGTCATAAATGGTCAAGAATCTTAATGTATAATACATAGTATATTTTATTCATGTAAAATGTTAATATATTACTAACAAAGTCAGTGTTGAAGGCAGGATTTTGTTGTAGATGTTCTTTTCCCACTGTCTAGTTTAATAGAGAAACTAAAAATGGGTCATTTGTATCAATATCAAAAATTTTGATAGTTTTTGTGTGGAATTCTGCCTTAAATTTGGTAGTGATAACTGTACGCTTTCTGTTTAATAATTGTCAACTGTATAGAATTCTATCAGTTCAGATCTGTTGTTCAACTGTGATTTGTTTCATGAAAGAGTGAGTGAGTGAGAGCATAAATAAAGATATTCAACAACCTGTGCTGAAATTATGTGATACTTTATTGATTCCCATTTTGTCTACATGAAGGTCATGGAGGTTGTGCTTGTATGCAGCACTTCAAGGACAAGCATACACTACCATTTTCACAACATGTCTTTTCCAGTATTATATCATCCTGCATTGCCCCAGAGTTATTCTGTGCTGTATGGTTACTGGTTTCCTTGTCTTTTGACCTCAGGAGCTCCATGCCTTTGGCCTCATGGGAGATAAGGAACAGAGTGGACTGAATCCTCAGGCTCAAGATCCTCTAGCCTCTGCATTGCATAGATACAGGAGGTGTCTACAGTATCTGTGAGCCAGGATGCTGGTGCCGATGCTCCCAGAGAGACCATTATCCATGTATGTACTAAATAAGTAAAACATAGTAGGAGGAATCTGTAAAACTGATGCACTTCCTGCAGACCTATTTTGAATAGTGTTTTGAATCCCATGTAATGACTGCTAATAGAATCTAAGAGTACAGGTATACATTTTGAAAGAATAATCACTGTATATTTCAAATCATAGAGCTGATAAATTTTAAATTATAGGATGCCCTCATGGTTTTCTGTGCTGACAGTGAACCTTGGTGTCCTCAGTTTGGGTCTGTAAAATTAAAGATCTCCTGATCCGATACAATCAGACATCATCAATACAATACTTAGTATCAGTATCAACACTGATACAGGCACACTTCATAGGTATCGGCCAGAATAAAGCTGATCCAATTTTTATCCTTACTTGGTTCTACTGTCCTGTATTTGAGCAGAATACATTTTATGGTTTTGTTCAATGGTGCTACAACAGCTGCCACCTTTTCTTAATGCAGCGTATTAAATTGTCAAACAGAGCTATCTAAACTGTACTGGACAAATTGTCTGTTCACATACAGATGCAAAGTAGTAGTTAGCATCTGCCCTGTGGTGAATTTGTACAGTAGTTCTGAGAGTGCGTTTTCCATCCCGCAGTTATTCTTTTATTCATATCAATAATTTAAGCTGATACACTTAATATTTTGGAACCAGGATCTGATCCATTATTTGGATCAATAATCTCCTGAAAAACACAGGGTGCCAGATTATTTTCAATTTCAATATGTCAGATGTTTAATGAACATTTACTGTAGGTAAATATAAGCAAATATCAGATCAGAAATGTTATTGGCAGATACTTAATATTAAAGGACTCTGATCCATAACGGGACATAAAAAAAAACTAACAAAAAAAAACACTGGATCATGACATCCCAACTAAAAATACTGAAACTAATTATGACTTATGTTTACTTCTTCAGTAGGAACCAGCACATGTGGGGCTTAGTGTTACAGACAGAATAAAAAGAGCCTGACAAAAATAATTTTGCTGAGGCCTTAAGTTATATTTGAAATTTTGTGTTTGTACCTGAACCGAACCCGTTGGTACCTGAGGGTCCGAGCCAGGTTCAGACAGAAATTTAGAAATTGTGTTTGAGTCTGGGCTGGGTACAAGCACAACTGTCAAACTTGGGCTGGGTCAGGTTTGGACAGAAATATACGGGCTGATCCACGCTCTAACATTATTGCACCCGTTTATAATGTATTGCACAGTGAAATGATCATACACTGAACAAAATTATAAACACTTTTGTATTTGCCCCCATTTTCCATGAGCTGAACTCAAAGATCTATGACTTGTTCTATGTACACAAAAGGCCATTTTCTCTCAAATATTGTTCACAAATCTGTCTAAATCTGTGTTAGTGAGCACTTCTCCTTTGTTGAGATAATCCATCCACCTCACAGGTGTGGCATATCAAGATGCTGATTAGGCTGGCCACAATAAAAATGTGCAGTTTTATCACACAGTACAATGCTGCAGATGTCGCAAGTTTTGAGTGAGCGCAATTGGCATGTTGACTGCAGGAATGTCCACCAGAGCTGTTGCCCATGAATTGAATGTTCATTTCTCTACCATAAGCCAGAGAATTTGACAGTACATCCAATCAGCCTCACAACTGCAGACCACGTGTAACCACACCAGCCCAGGACCTCCACATCCAGCATCTTCACCTCCAAGATCGTCTGAGACCAGCCACCCGGACAGCTGCTGCAGCAATCGGTTTACATAACCAAAGAATTTCTGCACAAACTGTCAGAAATCGTCTCAGGGAAGCTCATCTGCATGCTTGTCATCCTCATCGGGGTCTCGACCTGACTGCACGCAGTTCATCGCCGTAACCGACTTGAGTGGGCAAATGCTCACATTCGATGGCGTCTGGCACTTTGGAGAGGTTTTTTTTTTTTTTTTGGCACCTTGGAGAGGTGTTCTTTCAACGGATGAATCCTGGTTTTCACTGTACAAGGCAGATGGCAGACAGTGTGTGTATGGCGTTGTGTGGGTGAGCGGTTTGCTGATGTCAACATTGTGGATTGAGTGGCCCATGGTGGCGGTGGGGTTATGGTATGGGAAGGCGTATGTAATGGACAATGAACATAGGTGCATTTTATTGATGGCATTTTGAATGCACAGAGATGTTGAGATCATGAGGCCCATTGTTGTGTCATTCATCCACGACCTTCACCTCATGTTGCAGTCCCTTACCAAAAAAGTAGTATATGCAAGTATGCTTCAGGTATATTAATTTTAAACTAAAAATGAGAGAGTATACTTTCAGTTTACTTTTTAAGTACTTATCAGAGATATACTTAACAAAGTTTAAGTTAACTATACTTGGCTTATACTAAAAATTATACTAAAAGTCTAAGTATATTGAGCCTATACTTATATTTAAACTTTTGACCATGATATACTTAAGTAGTAGTACATTAATAGTACATTTTCACACATACTGGTTTCTTTGTGGTATACTGCATGTTTTTAAAGATTGAGGATTGGTGTAGGTGAAACTGAACCACCGTCATATACACAATGACATTATTATCAAACAGGGACAGAAATCAAATGTCTGAATTTTATTTGAAACCAAATCTGACATTTTTTAATTGATTCATACTGGCATTAGCCACCATAACACATGTGCTTTTTTTAAATGTATATACAATACATAAAAACAAGGCAAATGGCAAAAGGAGGTCTCCACTACAACACTTGCTTTGCAGTAGTATGACTAAGGCTACTCATGGGAGCTCTTTTAATCCCGTTCATATGGATTTGGCAAAGGTGTAATGTACAATTTGTCAGCGGTTTCAACAACAACACATTTCACTTTTATCATATCAGGCCAGATGGAACTTAATTTTCCAGTCTTCCTAACCTCATGTATGAAATCACTCTGTACATTTATCTGTGAATCCAACTGACCATCTTTCAGGTATACAGCACTGTTGAACCTTTTCTTTATTCTGTCATATGTCTGACTGTGATACAGAGCTCCATCAACCAAAAAACGACTGTAATACCAAAAGCAGTTGCTTAGATTTCCACATAGTTTAACAATGGCAAGCCTATGTGAGGCTGGGATATTTTCTTGCAGTGGGGGATGATCAAAACCTTTGATACTTTTATTTAGTGTGTCACATTTATCTGTTCTACGCTTAGAGACATAAAGTTTTTCAACAAATGACTGCACCTTTGTATTTCCAGAGGCGATAGTGTGTTTGGCCTTTTCTGGCAATTCTCTCCACATCAGAAATTTTCTAGCAATTTGTGAAGGGACATACTGAGTACCATGAAAATATTTAAGTAGAGTGCCCATATTGGACTCAAATGGAAACGTTGAGGTAGCCCATAAAGGCCCCCAGTGTTTGACACTTTGTGTGACATGTGTGAGCAAGTGTATGTTGAAAGTCATGTGGTTCTTTCCATAAAGTCTTTGAAACTCAATAACAAATTTTTTAAGAGCCACTTCTGCCATCAAGATGCTTCTAGTCTTGATTGTATCCTGCAGTAATGTGTATATGCTGAATACCAAAAGGAATAGATTATTCCAAAATCTGACAGGGAGTATACCTTTCAATATGGGCAACGCATAGAAGAGGAGAAAGGCTCGCCATTCGGAAGCTTTCCAGAATTTTCTTTCACTAAGTGACCTTGGTGTCCTGGTTATCTCAACAGGAGGCTTTATTTTTTCAAGTCGCAAATCAATCTCTTTTATCTGTTTACCAATGTACCGGGGGGCTTCCCTGTTTGCTGTATCAAGCCACAGTGTAGACAGTTGCCGAGTGACTCCAAGGCACACATTGTGTTGATATTCAGGAATGAAACCGTTTATCATTTGGAAGTGACCAAGCATCATTAAAGGAGATGGACCTTTAACTCCAAACACTGGCTCATCAACTGATGCTGACATTGCATGACTAAAATGATCCTTCTCATTTCGCAGGGGGGGTTCAGGTCTATCATATGGATATGTCTTCCCACCTTTGTGATAGCAAAAATCACAGCCATAAAAGCCGTTGAACTGCTTTGTGTTACGAAGCAACGGCTGAGCCACAGAATCAGAGCTACAAATCAGCACATACACTTTAGAAACATGACGGTTACCCTCAATGTCTTGCCAATCAACACCTTCAGTCTCCAATAATGATGCTTCTTTGAGAAATGGTGTTAGTAATGTAAAAATGGATGGCTTACCAGGCCCAAACCATAAAGCAGACATTAAAATGTGATTTTTCCTTACATCTGGATGCAGTTCTGGGTCCTGATATTGAATTGACCAAATGCTGCATTTCGAACTTTAGAAGACTGGTGCTCCAACACAATTCCAAAT